GGGAGGGCGTGGGCGGGGCGGCCCGGGTTCCCGTCTGGTGTCGGACCCGCGGCCCAGCTTCGGTTCGGAAAAGGGAGCTGCCTTCCAGGCCCGGGCGAGGAGACTGGGGAGACCGCGCACTTGAGTTCTCCGTCGGGGACGATCAGGGAAATTACAGCATCCCGGCTCCGGGTTGGACCAGCGGTAAATCCAACCCCGAAAGTGACTCTCCGTGCGGGATGTAGTCGTTACACCCCCAAGTCCTCGAGATAAAGATCGAAAGTCTAAACTGAGTAATCAGCGTACCGGTTTCTTATGATCCCCCTCCATTTGTCTTTCTTGTCACATTTCAAAAACTGATACCACCAGTAACTATATTAATAAGTACATTCATTGATAAAATATAACTTTCACTTTACACTTAGGAAACAACATGATGTGGCTTTCCTAGGCTTAATTACCATGTAATTAGTCATCTGTGTGACAATATAGGACCAGTGACTGGAGCAGAAAACGAGATGTCCCGGTCCTCTTCCTGTGATTTTCACGCAGGACTCGGTAGATAAAGCTGTTGTCTTAACTGGAAAAGACAACAGCTATAAAAACTTCCTTTCCAAAATGTGCAAATGATTGTAAAGACATATGTGGAAGGCTGTTTTAATGTGTGCAGGCTTCACCAAAACAATGATGTGGACACTGTTAGTAACTCTGGTTGAAATTGTTAATAGAACTAAAAAAAACAAACAGCAACAACAAAAAATCTTGAAAATAGGAGCCCCGGAGCATACCCGCTTCCCTTATTGTGTCATGAAATCTCATTTTCCTGCACTCCCTGAAAGTGTTACTTTGTGCCATTTCGTTTTTACTATATAATTTACTTGTGTACTCTAAGCTCATATAACATAATCATGAAAAATCCCACTTGAAACATTTCCAATTACACAACACCAAAAAACTTACTAGGAAGCCAAAATTTTTTTAATTGTACATCCCAACCACAAAAGAAGCAAACTTGTGACCAATCATATTTTGGCAATATCACCAAGAGGTTTTTTTTCCTTCGCATCCTGCAAGTAAAATTTTAAAATTCTGTGCAGTGCCACATAATGAAGGTGGAGCTTCTTTTACATGTCTGTATCTGAAGGAGAATTAAATGAAATTGAGAACTGAAAATATTACAAGAAATTTAGATTTTCTTCGGAGGTATTTTCTTGTTCATTTTGTTTGGTTGGTTTTTCCTAGTTGCCTTTTTTTTTTTTTTTTTTTTTTGGTCTTTTTTGTTATTTTGTCTTTTTTTTTTCCAGAGCTGAGGACCGAACCCAGGGCCTTGCGCTTGCTAGGCAATCGCTCTACCACTGAGCTAAATCCCTAACTCCAGTTGGTAGGTTTTTAAGAGCATAAAGATTCCAAATTATAAATGAAATAATTCTGAAAAGTTGATTCCTAAGCTAGTGATTTAGAACTTCCAGGGAACTTTTCCATAAAACCAATGATAGAAACAGAAGCAAAACTAATTCCCTTGACCTGAGGGAGAGGCCACCTGCTTTCCTCTCTGCTTGGCAGATACAGTTGGTGTTCCAGAAGAAATGGAAGGCAGCCACTAGCTGGAAAGCCTTCTTACCTGGACCACGCCCAAGGTGGCGTCTTCCAGAAACACCTCACTTAACACTTCTTAGCTTGTCATCTCCCAGTTTTCTATATAATATCCTTCTGTTTTTGTTTCTTTCATGGTTTTCTTTCCTGGTAAGCAGGTTTCTTCCCTGGGTTATTTCCAGGCCTAAAGTCTCCTCCACATCTGTCTTTTCTATCACTGATTATTCTTCCAACTTCTATCCAAAAGGCATATTGTCCTCCTCAGCCTGGCAGGCTTTTGTATAGGGATTGTCTGTTTATACAGAACCTCTTTTTGCCTCGTTGTTATGAAGGTGCCAGATCAAACCATATCTGTACTTTGGCATGTCATGTAGTACTGAAATACCGGTGGTTTTATTAATGAATGGCATATTGTCCGCATCATACTTTAATACTTAGCTGATACTCCATTTGAGGAAAAGCTAAGTAGCATTCTTCTTTCTGTCCTGAATCTTTACAGCAAGGGTGATGGACAGATGGTTACCCAGGACAGCTGCTGGGACTACAGGGAGACCTTGTCTCAAAAAGACAAAAAAAAAAAAAAAAAAAAAAAAAAAAAAGAAAAAAGAAAGTATCCTAAAATAAGAAGTCTTGAGAGAAAGGAACTATGTCAGAAGAGAAGTAAGAGTCAAGCCTTCAAGTAACATCAACAAGTCGTAATTTACAGTAAGAACCAGGGAACTGAAGAGGAGCATAGCTCTTCCACTGTGTTGATAACAGCATGCACGAGAGATGATGGTCCAAGCACACTGATGCCAGTGAGTGCCCGCTGGGTATGGAAAACCTGAGCCCTAATGGATAGCAGGAAGTATAAGCTTCTCTGGGCTTTTTATTCTACATCTGTTACGTCAGTGACATTTGCTTATATGTGACATAGTATACAGTTCACAATAATCTGAGATGGCTGTACTTACAGAAAGCATGGGGCAAACCCATAATCCCTAAATTGACTTTAAGCATTAATCTTAGTTTTAGCGTCTTTCTTTATGATTATAAAAGTAATGCATACTGTGGAAATTTAAAAATAGACCTAAAGAAAAAAAATTTGTAATATTTTACTCAAGGTAATACTTGATATCAATCATTTAGTATTGTACATATCTCTCTGTATGTTTTGGCATATTTATGCATGCATATTCATACGTTTTAGTATATTTTTGCCTTTTATATACTTCAAAGTTGCTATTTTCCCATGTTAGAAAAATCCTGTGTAAAAATTATTTTTAGGGCTCCCTAATAGACTATTCTAACAGTGCACATTTAAATCACTTCAAACTTTCTTTCATAGATACTGCTTTTATATAAAAATACTAGGCCAGGTGTGGTGGCACACCTTTAATCCCAGCACTGAGGAGGCAGAGGCAGGCAGATCTTTGTGAGTTCAAGACCAGCCTGCTCTACATAGTGAGGTCCAGACCAGCTAAGGCTACAGGAAGACTCTGTCTCAAAAAGACCAAAAAAAAAAAAAAAAACCCTTTTCTTTCATAGATACTGCTTTTATATAAAAATACTAGGCCAGGTGTGGTGGCACACCTTTAATCCCAGCACTGAGGAGGCAGAGGCAGGCAGATCTTTGTGAGTTCAAGACCAGCCTGCTCTACATAGTGAGGTCCAGACCAGCTAAGGCTACAGGAAGACTCTGTCTCAAAAAGACCAAAAAAAAAAAAAAAAACCCTCAAATTGATGTGATTGTAAATCATTACGTTTCTAAACACTGAAAAATAAGATCCTTCCTAGAAGCAGAATGACTAGGGCAGTGAGTCGAACTCTTGAAAGTGGTTTGAAGCATCCTGCACCCTAAAGAACTTCACCTTTCTCAGAAGTAGCCCATGCTTAGTTTTTTAAGAATGGCCTTGCTATTTTATTTTATACTTTTATTTTCCCATTAATTACCAGCTAGGCCTACACACATTAGCATATATATGTGTGTACGTACATGTAAGTATATTTACTGTAAATAATGTATGTTATATTATGAATATACTTAATAAAAGAATACGTGGTACTTAGTGATAAAATTTTCCTAGTCTGATATTTGTATGTTTATGTAGGACTGACTATATAGAGGCCAGAAAACTAGAAAAGGGTCCATGAGAAAGGAAAAAGGAGGCTTGAGTAGAGGAGACAGGGAAGGTAGGAGAGTATGTGATATGGAAGTGGGAGGGGGAACACGGGGTGAAAAGGTGGGGGTGGAGGATTGGGAGATGAAGAGGAGGGGAAGGGAGTCAGCCAAAGCTAAGTCTGTATGAAGAAGCCATAAGGAAACCTGCTCTTGTAAGCTAAGTAATTTGTTTTTAATTAATTGGGGATTTAGCTCAGAGGTAAAGCCCTGGGTTCAGTCCTCAGCTCTGAAATAATAATGCTAATAATAGTACTGCAAGGCAACTAAATTTTTTTAATTTCCTAGGTCTGATTCTAGTGAAACAGCTAGGTCAAAATGGCTCTTTCAAAATTCCGGTGTGTGTGTGTGTGTGTGTGTCTGTTTTAATTAACAAATAAAATAAGGTCCCTGACTCTTATTCTGATTAAGAAGATAGTTTTTATTTACTACAATTTTATTTTATTTACAAATAAAAGCTGAGAAGAGATGTCATCTTTATGGTGGAAGAGTGGAAATCACATGGTGGGGCTGGGATGAGGACTGGAAATCACAGTGGACTTAGAAATGCATTTGCAGTCCACACTAGCCACACTAGCTTTTTCCTTTAAATATAGCCTCATTCATCAAAGTCACATACTTTTTATAAAAATACTTATTATTTTTATTTTACGTGTATCAGTGTATTGCCTGCATGTATTAAGTACACTGTGTTGTGCAATGCTCTTGGAGGTCAGAAGAGGGCACTGGATACCCTTGAGTATCGGAGTTATGGATGGTTGTTAGCTGCCATGTGGGTGTTGGGAATCAAACCTGGGTCTTCCGCAAGAGCAGCCAGTGCTTATAACCACTGACCCATCTTTTTTAAATACTACTTTTTTAAAACAAGATTTCTTTTCACCTAGAATTTCAAACCTACAAAATTTATTTTTGTTTAATTTTTATGTATGAATGTTTTGCCTGCATACTACACCACATGCATGCAGTACCCACAGAAGCCAGAAGAGGGTGTAAGATCCCCTGGAACTGGAGTTATAGATGGTTGTTAGCCACCATGTGGGTGCTGGGAATTGAACCCAGCTCCTTTGTAAGAGCAGCCAGTGCTCTTTGCTGCTGAGCCATCTCTCCAGCCTCAAACCCACAAACATTTTAAGAATAATAGACCAAGGACCTACCTATAAATCCTCACTCATATGTGCTAGTTATGGGGTGGTTAACATTTACCATTCTCTCTCTCTCTCTCTCTCTCTCTCTCTCTCTCTCTGCCTCTCTCCCTCTCTTTCTCTCTCCCTCCCTCCTCTCCCTCTCCCCCCTCCCTCTCTCGTGTGCTCGCGCCCTTCTCTCTCTCCCTCTCTCTCCCTCTCTCGTGTGCATGAGCCCTCTCTCTCTCCCTCTCTCTCTTTCCCTCTCTCTCGTGTGCACATGCCCTCTCTCTCTCTCTCTCACTCTTGCTCTCTCGCTTTGTCTCTTTCTCTGTGTCTGTAAACCCATTGATGTTTTCTTGAACGTTTAAAAGTTTCAGACATCAGTAGTGGCGCACGCCTTTAATCCCAGCACTCGGGAGGCAGAGGCAGGCGGATATCTGTGAATTCAAGGCCAGCCTGGTCTACATAGAGAGTTCCAGGCCAGCTGGGGCTATGGGGAGACCCTGTCTCAAAAAGACCCCCTCCCCCCAAAAAAAGAAAAATAAAGTTTTAGACATGATTATACTTCACTCATAAATACTCTTGCATGCGTTACTTGAGAACAAAGCCTGTTTGCCTGACCCGAACTCTGTATTCAGAAGTCAGTTGTCTCCAGATGTCTTTTGCAACTGTTTTCTGGGTTTTTTTCTAATATCCATGATACCAAAAAGATTCACACATCTTAAAAAAGCAAAAAGAGGCAAGGTTGTATGTTCGGCACCTGTGTGGAGGTGCTGACCCTGTCAGTGCTGCCCCAAAACACTCGGCTAACCTTTGCCGTTTTAATAGACAAAACTTTTTCTTGCTGTAAGATACAGTGCTAGAGAGGTGTAGCACGTCCTTTAAATATTTGTTCTGCATTTGATCTTATTTAGCATGAAGATCTGTTCCATCCATTTTCCTACCAACAACATGAGTTGATTCTTTACAGATGAATATTTTTTGTTCATTTGTCAGCCTATTGTCCTTAGATTTCTTTTTAATCATGTTCTTACTGTTTTTGACACTTGGTATTTTTACAAGGATAATATTTTATTTTATACTGACTATAAATGTCTTCATCTCCTCTGCCGTATATTTTTATTTAGTAATTCTTACCCTACAATGAATTAAACTGTGTTATCTTCTGTATGTATGCATTTATGGTTCTACTTTTTAGTCTATATATTTACTATCTTTATAATGATTTTACATATAATGTGAAATTTTTTCCAATCTTTGAGTAACCCACTTTTCGCTGTTCTTTATAATCTTTTACATTATAGTAATGTATATACACACAAAGATCTATGTGAAAAGAAAAATCAACATCTATCTAAAAAGTCTATGTATTAAACTTTAATCTTTGCATTGATATTAAGAGGATTTTTCCCCCCATAATCATGTTTTCTTGCTGTAAATTTCTACCAATTGACTTTTATGTATTCAGTTTTCAACTTACTTTTCTGTATTTTTATCCTGTTGCTAACAAATACTAATGTCTTACACTCAATTCTTTTGCATCCTCTAGGTGTATAATCATTCACATTGTAGGTAAGAATTATTTTGCTTCCTTTCAAATAATAATGCCTTATTTCTGTTTCTATTTCTTGCCTTTTGCAATACCTGGAATTTTGCAAAGAATGCCAGCTCAGAAATCTACATAAATAAATAAAGGAACCTCTATAACAGTGTTTATCAAAGTTTTCCGCAAGATGATCTGGAAAAATAATGGAGTGGGGAGCCTGTATGTCCTTTTGATTTATCATTAGCAATATAGATTAACCAGTGGTGCCAGTGCTGTACCACAGACAACACTTTGGCAAGAGAATAAATGAGAGCTAACCAAATCAGTCCACAGTATTCACCATCCTTGTCCTGCAACACAGTATCAGTACTAAATGTATAAGGAAGTTACTTTTCCTGAAGTATATGTTTGAACTATTGGTAAGCTATAAGAAGTCAACAAGATCACCAATTTGTTCATGGTCCTACTGGTCTGTACCAGAGGAGAGGAGACTGCAGTTTTCTAAACTCCAAAGTCAGTTCTTACTGTGTACCCAAAGATTATCATATGATCGAAGTACATTTTCTAACAAATCTGCTACTTGCCCTTAAATTAAGTAGTTCAAAACTAGGTGTTTGTTCATCCGCATATTGTTTTACACCTTTTAAAAGCAGTTTGCAAACAATATTTTAACAGATGCTGAATTTAGATGAATTCTATCCATAGAATTCCTTAAAGTCTGACTTAATCTCATTGTGTTCATAAAGGCATCTAGTCAGTAAAGAGAATAATTTTGCATATGATAGACATCCTTTGTTCATTTCATTATCATTATCTACAGTGGAATGTTTAAATCAGTACTCAGCTGAGGGCAATTTTGCCTTAGAGAGAATGCCTGAATATTTGTGGTTGATGAGTCCTAGGGTAGGAGGTGCTACAGGTAGTAGCAATAGCCAGGGATAGTACTGACATCGTATAAGATACAGAACA